AAAAAACATTAAAAAATAATTTAAAAAATTATTTTATTTTAGATGAGGGGGGAAGGGCAGAGAGAGAGGGAGAGACAGAATCCCAAACAGGATCCACGCTCAGTGCGGAGCCCAAGGCAGGGATCGATCCCACGACCATGGGATCATGACCTGAGCTGAAATCAAGAATCTGACGCTCAACTGAGCTCCTCCCCGGGAGCCCCCCCCCAACACTTTTTTTACATACAAAAATGTCAGTTTCGTGTGGTTCCTCCTATCATTTGCATATCTACGGTTTAAGGGAAATTATTTGTTTTAACCCTCACAATAATTTTAAGAGGTGCCAATTCTCTGCCCATTTCCAGGTGAGGAAACTGAGGCTCAGAGAGGATTAGCGAAGCAGGGCAATGAAGATTAGCTACTCAAGTTACTTTGTCACGTGCACTGCAGGCATTCAGGTCTCCTTGGAACAGACTCACAAAAGCACCGTGTACTCCCCATGCGAATTGCACACCTCGTCATGACCTTTGCTGAATGATATGTTGGACTTCTGCTTCCGGTTCCTCTGTTAACACAGTGGTTCCCAAACGTTTTGGTCTCGGGACCCCACTTACACTCAAAAACCATTGAGGACCCCACAGAGCTCCCCCTTGTGTGGCCACGGATGATGACCACGTTAGAAACTAAAGCCCAGGCGTGAGAAAGATTTGTGTGTTCATTCATTTAAAAACGACGACGATAAACGCGATGCGCATTCAAGAGAAATAGCGTTTCCTTTAAAGGTCACTGTACTTTCCAACACACGTACAAATTGAAGCTGGGCATTGGTTCACATCTCTGCAGTTCTCTCTCATTTGTGCCTGGGGAGCAGAGAGACGCTCACGTCGACTCCTGCACTCGATCCGCTGCGATATTGCCCGTCACGCAGCGTCTGGAAACTCCATGCACACCTGGCAGGGAACAAGAGCGGACGCACAAATAATCCCTTTGTATTCTTAGGAAGATAGTTGTGGCCTCTTGAGCTCACTGGAAGGAGTTTCACCCTCTCGCTTGTTTTCCAGATGGGCGATTCCTACGACACAAGTTTTACAAGGAATACCCAGGTAGGAGAAGAAACCACTCTTCCTTTGCAGAGGGCACTGAACGGGGGCACTGAGAGTTTCTTGGGTGAAAAAAGAAATCTAGAACCCCATTGACTCTTTTGAGGGCTACAGTCTGAAGCTGCTGTGAAGGGAAATCCCCATTTCTGCCCAGTCGCTCGTGTGCCATCAGGTGGCCCTTGGGGGTGAGGTGGTGGGATGCCAAGCCACTTCCGGTGTGAAAATCTCTCCTCCACCCTGAGCAGCCCTCCAGGGGCACCTGACATGGCAGGGGCCGTTCTAGGCTGCAGCCTGGGACTGAGGCAGCAGTTCAGGGATGTCTCCCCCGGGACAAATTGAGAACTAGGATTAGAAAAGAACGTGGAAGCCTTGTTGCCTGGTGGTGAGAGGAGGTGGGAGCCAACGAGGGGCTCATAGAAGACAAATGGCTTTGTGTTAAATGTTACAACTTGGTACTGGGTGTGTTTAAGTCCTTCCTACTTCCAGGGGGTTGGAAATATGGCTGACACCCTTCTTCTATCTAATCCTTCATTGATCTAGCCATGATGTATCCATGCATCAATCTATCCAATACTGTTCTTCTATCCATCTTTCCATCCTTCCTTCTATCCGTCCTTCCTCCCTTCTTTCCTTCCTTCCATCCATCCATCCATCCATCCATCTATCCATTCATCGATGTATCCAATACTCTGTTCTTTTATCCATCTTTCTATCCTTTCTTCTATCCATCCTTCTATCTGTCCTTCCTTCCTTCCTTCCTTCCTTCCTTCCTTCCTTCCTTCCTTTTTTTCCTTCCTTCCATCCATCTATCCAATACTGTATTCTTCTATCCTTCTTTCCATCCTTCCTTCCACCCATCCATCTATCCATCCATCATCCATCCATCCATCCATCCTTCCATCCATCCATCCATCCTTCCTTCTATCCATCCATCCTTCCTTCTATCCATCCATCCATCCATCAATCCATCCATCCACCTGTCCATTTATCTATCTATCCTTCCATCCATCCATCCATCCATCCATCCATCCATCCACCTGTCCATTCATCTATCTGTCCATCCATCCATCCATCCATCCACCCACCCATCGATCTATTCTTCCATCCATCATTTCTTTATTAAGAATTTACAGCACATATTTATCAAGCATTGGTCTTCATCCTGTGCTAGAGGTTGGGGCTACATTTGTGGACATGACAGACCCAGTCCTTCCCATCAGGCAGCTAACGTCAAGCAGGAAATAAATACAAACCCAAGTAGTTACTTAGTAAAAACAGTGATCAGGGTGACTGAAGTCACACTGAGGACACTAGGGAAAAGGATACCTTGGACTAGGATACCAAGGAAACCTTCCTGAGGAGGGGCCATTTGAGCTCAGCCTAGAGAATAAGAATTAGTGGGCAGAGGAGCAGCCAGTGTGAGAATTCTGAGGTTGGAAGCACCTTGGCCATCGCGGCAGCTGGAGTGTGTAGTGAACAAGGGGGACAGTGGCGGGAGACGGGGCCACAAAGGGAGGCAGAGCCAGACCACACGGGGGCTGTGGCCACGGTGAGGAGAGGCCAGAGGCTGCAGGTCGGCCTTGGGTGACTTCATCTGGGGGGGAAGAAGGCACAGGGACAGGGAGCCAGGTGTCCGGACTCCATCTGGCAGTGGCTGGTGAGCCGCAGAAGACTCGCCCGCCCTGACAGAGCCCTGCTCTCTTTGCAGAGGGCGACTCCAAGAATGTGGCCGAGCCCGGAAAAGGACCCTTGAGGCACTTTCAGTGAGGCAATGGGGCAGGTCAGTCCGGGGAGTGGTGGCCGGTGGCAGGGGAGGGTTCGGGCGCAGGTGTCCTCGGTAGCTTTACTCACCAAGGTGACCGGTGGGAGGGGGAGAGTGGGGTTTTACCCGGGGCTAGAATTTCATAATTCCCTTGCGGTGTCCCAAGTAGGCGTATACGAGAAGTGGCTGTTCTGTTCACCAGAAGTTTCCAGACCACCCGGACCTAAATCCAAAGACTAGGCTGCAGCCTTCCTTTCCATGCCTGGTTTTAGGGCCTCCGTGAATGGCCGACGAGTCCCCCGCTGCCCCCCGGAGTCTGTCCCTCTGTCCCTCCCTCCGTCACACGATACGGTCAAGTGCCAGCTCCGAGACAGGCGCGTGCCGGGCACTCGGTTCCTCAGCAGCCCTTCGGGACGGCCGGGGTTCCTGCTCCTAGGGGCCTCCCCCCGGCAGGAGACCACACAAGTCAGCAAGGAAATCGGCCTGCGATGCGTGTCGTGAAGGGAACGGACGGGGGCGTGAGGGAGAGTGGCCAGGTCGGGGAGGGGCCGTGCGTGGAGCTCACGTCTGAGCCAAGATCTGAGACGGGGCAGAAGAGCCGCCTTGGGGCGGCCTGGGGAGCGGGGCCTGGTCAGGGTAGCTGGAAAAGTAGGAGTCCCAAGGGCAGGAAAGACCGTGGCTTCGAGGAGCCACGGGGAGGCCACCACGGAATGACGGCGGCGAGGCTGGCACCAGAGGGGCCCCCAGGGAAGGCCCTGCTCTCAGATGAGATGCTCCAAGGCGAGATGTGTGCCTGTGACCGGGAGCATCTGCTAAGAAAGCCTGAATGCCCGCCCCACCCCGTGAAGGCCCCACACGTGTGCCCACGGTAAACAGAAGCCCTTGAAAGCAGCCAACGCCCCCCAGAATGTCCTCGAAAGGCGAACATCAGGCTTCAGATTCCAGAACATTCTGGCGCGAGTCCTCCGGCAAGATCTCGAGCCCTCGAGGATTGGTGCCAGCGTGTCTCTTACCTGCTGATGCCAGGAACGGTCCTTGGGGTGGGTCTGACCCACCTCGGGCAGTGGCCTCCCATGGGGATGGGCAGGGGTGCGGGGAGGGCGACGGGGTAGCATGGGGCGTGAGAGGCAGTTTGCGTGACGGAGAGGGATGCGTTGAACTAAACAAGATGATGCCCAGAGAGGCTGATGGTAAGTTAAGAATTCAGTCCTAGGGATTGGGGCGCCTGGGTGGCTCAGTCAGTTAAGCATCCGACTTGACCGGTCTGTCGGTCATGGTCCCTGAGTTGAGCCCGCATCAGGCTCGTGCTGACGCGAGCCTGGAGCCTGTTTCGGATTCTGTGTCTCCCTCTCTCTCTGCCCCTCCCCTGTTCATGCTCTGTCTCTCTCCGTCTCCAAAATAAATAAAACATTAAAAAAAAATAAAAAGAAAAAGAATTCAGTCCTAGGGAAACTGCTATCTTCCTAGTATTGAAAATGGGGGGGGGGCGGTGGCACAGACTGTGACCTCTGTCCTGCCCCCAGCAGCAGCTCTCATTCCTTCTCTGCTTCTCTTCCAGCCAGCGCGCAGGAACATTCTTCCACTTTCTGCTAAGCCTTGGAAACCGTTGGACCAAACACGATTTGACCCCCAGAGGCCATGCCCAGCTCAACAGAGATACTCAGACACAGGACACCCGGCTCTCGATGCCAGCATGACCCGCCTGGCTGGGTGACTTCGCGGGAGCACTGGGTCCCCGTGTGACCATCCGGGGAACACAGCACACCTAGCAGCCCCGCTAGACCCGGAGACCCCACGGAGCCCACCCTGGAAGAGGTCACTGCCTTTGTGAGCTGTGTCAAGCCCCTTTCCGTGTCTGTGTTGTTACGCATTTCTTCCAGATTTGTCTCTGGGAGGCATGTCCCTATGCCAAATGTTCTAAAAATAAAGCGCCCCTTACAAAACAGAAACGAACTTACCTGCTCGGGTAGGATTCGTAGTTTTAACAGCCCCGCCCCGTGATCTTAAATCACATGCGCTCAAGCCCTTGAACCCTGGAGATGGGTGGGGGCGGGGGATTCTGGGGTGAGGCGTCAGCTCAGCTCGGCTTCTGGAATACCCAGCCTCGTGCGCACTGCTCTGGGTCTGGGTTGGATGCCTCTGAGACAGACCCGGGGAGGAGGGTTTGTTGAAAGCGCTTTGTTAGGAAAGTTCCCGGGGGACACTGGCGGGAGGGTAGGGAGGTTGGGCGGAAGGAGGAAGTCAGACAAGATGAGGAACAAGGTCCCACAGAGGAGGGTTGGGGAGACCCTCCAGGGCTCCAGGGGGAGATACTCAGAGGGGCCCCCACTTGGCTTAATGAAATTCTTAGCAGTGGTTGACCAAGGGGCCCGCGTGTTCATTTTGCAAATGGTGCCGGTGGCCCTGGGTCACACCGTGGATGCGGCCCCACTGGGGCGCATGGAGTCCGGAAGGCTGACGAGGCTTTTTTTAGGGAAGGCTAAAGAAAGAGCCAGAAGCTCTCCCAAAGAGGGTAGGGGTGGGCACCAGGAGGGGGTCTCGGGAAAACGCACGCACGAGGGGTGGGCAGACTGTCCCCTAGATGTCCACGCCAGAGACCTCCTTTTACAAAGGAGGCCGGCAGACCCCAGGACGTCTTGTGACTTGCCCAAGGTCATTCGCCGCCCGGCAGTGACAGGTGGGCAGTTAATCCTTCCGAGGAGGTCCCTCTGTTCCTGGCCGGTGCCCTATGTTGTTACATCACGCCTCATGGCAACCGTAACACGGGAGCCAGCTCCTTCGGACCAGGCGCCTCTGTGAGCCCTTTAAAGAAAACCAACAGGTCATCTGGGCTGTCCCAAGCCGCGAGGAAGACCCTATGCGCACCCATTTTACAGATCAGGGAAACAGAGACACAGAGAAATAAAGTCACTTAGCAAGTGTCCCACAGCTAGTCAACGGCAGAGTGAGGTTGCAGACCTAAATAATAATCCGATGGGGGGTGGGGGTGGGGAGGGATTTTTTTTCTTTTTCTGTATCGCCGAGAAGCAGCCTTTAATTTGTGTAGCTATATGAACACGTGTAGGTACCGAATAAGTTTTGAGTAAAATATTGGACTCGATTATGGCATCCTCCTACCTACCGTCCTTCAGAGCGAAGAGATATTACATGCTTTTTGTTGTGCTCCTGGGAACCACGGATTCTAGGAAGGTTTTCCGGAAAAGATTGTAGAAGGGGAGGAACACATTTGTTCTCCCCCGCCGCCAAGTGTCACAGTCAGATTAGACCTTATACCAAGGTCGTCTACCCGTTTGTCTGTTTAAAAAATAATTTTTAAACCCTTCTTATCTGAAAGAATGGTGCCTTTACAGGACGTGCAGAGAAATGGACAGGGGCGCCCACCTTACCCGCAGTAACGTCTTGCGTAACTTAGCCCAGCAGTACAACCGGGAAGCTGGCGTTGGAACATCAGCAGAGCTCCTGAGGTTTTCTCTAGTTCCACGGGGTGAAGCCACGCCCCCAAGGCCTCGCTGCTTGGAACTGGCCAGTTGGGAGCCCCACCCCCCATCTCCTTCTTCCAGAACTGCCGGAGGCTGGCTCCGCTTCTCGGAATCCACAGTCTGGAGTTTTCTCTCTTGCCATACTGAAGAGACAGTAGAGGGCATGGCTATCTCTGTGGCTGCC